ACATAGAGCTCGAAATGAACGCTTCGTTCCTCATATGACCATCGGTCAGAGTGAAGACGCCTCAGCTGCCCCTCATCATTTTCTCCTCGAAAAGGCCCGCCTCTTGGCACCGATAGAATGGGAAGTGAAAGAAATTGCTATTCTTATCCGCGATGGCGCACTTGCCCAAGGCGGAAGCGGACCACGGCCTATGAGGCTTTGGGGGACTCTAGATCTTGGATTGGGAATCTTCCGTCGGATAACACCACCTTCAAGTTTCAATGATCATCTAGACAGATTGTCTACTATTGCCTTCCAGCCATGCTATCACTCAATCCAGTCTTCAGGGGTCTGGGAAACGGCTGAGTCGACAAACACATCTCCGGATACAAACGAGGTCATCCTTGAACAATTGGTTGTTGCTTCTTATAATGTTTTGGCAGAGTTTGAGTGGCCTCCTCAATCATATCGGCATCCAGCTCTGGTGGAAAATCTGCTCTCAGCTCATGCTGCCGCCGATATTGTTGTTCTCCAAGAAGTCACAGACCATTTTCTTCCTGACCTCCTCGCCAACAAAGATATACGTAGTCGCTATCCTTTCGTCACTCATGGGCCTCCAGATCATCCCGGTATTGGGCCACTACCTAGCCTCCTCAATACTGTCATCTTGAGTAGATTTGAGTTTGAATGGCACTATCTCCCATTCCATAGGAAGCACAAAGGCTGTACCGTGGCCCGGTTTCCTGGCATCGGTACAAGAGATGCTGACGATGGAAAATTCAAACCTTGGATCCTTGTGGCGTGTCATCTGAGCCAAGGACTCACTGACGGCGCCGTCGCCACCAAAAAGAAAGAAGTCCAGAAGATGCTCGATTATCTGTCTGCTACCTTTCGGCAACATCCATGCATCATTGCTGGGGATTTCAATCTTGCGACTTCAACTTACACCATAGATGCTGCCAAGAAAAATAATGATATTTCTGCCCAAACTGTTCGTCAGTTGCGAGATATCGACCGGGCTATCTCGGATTCTGACTTCTTAGATACTTGGCTGGCAACGAGACTGGAGTCAGGCGAATCTTCAGACATAGCCAACGAGAAGAGGAACGTCTTAGACTCCTTCCAGGGAGAACAAGGGGCTACTTTCGACCCACTGACAAACACACTGGCGTCTCATCTCGTTGGAAATGGGCTGAATAACAGACCGCAGAGATATGACAAGATCCTGGTCAGGGCAAATGGCCACTATAACCCGCGTGGTTTCAATACGTTTGGTCAGACAGCCTTCGATTCACCAGAGAAGAGTGGTCCCACATACGCCAGTGATCACTGGGGCATAAGATGCCTTCTGGTAAAGTCGTCGCCCTCTGATATGTCTCGATGTTGTGTCCCTGAGATGAAAATTGCACTTCGACAACCTCCTCCTGGCTTGGCTAACAGCGAGAGCTTGGAGGACTTCTTGGAAGGACATGGATGCTTGCCTAATGAGCGGGAGAGGACCAACCGGGGTGAAGCGATTAAGACCCTTGAAATGGTTCTTACAGATGCTACGTCCTCGATTCCAGAGAATGAATCCCGATGTGGGCCTGCATTTATTGTGGTCCCAGTTGGCTCTTATGGCCTCGGCGTCTGGACAAGTTCTTCTGATATCGACTGCCTGTGCATTGGCCCATTCAGCTCAAAGACATTCTTTGCATTGGCTGTTCAAAGGTTAAAGCGAGCAACGACCTTGGGCGTCAGAATCTTGCGACGAGTCAAGGCCAATTCAGGTAACATGCTGGAGTTAGAAATCAATGGCATCAAAGTCGATCTCCAGTATTGTGCAGCTACATCGATAGCCGAAAGGTAGTATTGGCTGATGTCTATATTCAAAATGGAAACTGCTAATTCGCGGATATAGATGGCCTGAAGTTATGAAGCGCCCAGCCAGCGACCCAGCGTTTGCCTTGTCTTTCCAGGCACTTGCTAAGCTTAAGCCTATCCGCGATCTGTTCTACCTTCGCCGCTCACTTCCAGATATGGTACAGTATCGAATGGCGCACTTGTTCATCAAATCTTGGGCCCAGGCGCGAGGTATTTATTCGGCAAAGTTTGGATTCCTTGGTGGTATTCACATAAGCGTCCTCCTTGTTCCGGTCTGTAAAGCACTGGCTTACGAGAATGAAACTGTAACCCCAGCCGATATTGTCGTCACATTCTTTCATCATTACTCGGAGTTCGACTGGAAGAACTCGATGGTCTTTGATTCGTTCTTTCACAAAGAATTGAGATATAACCGAACATTCCGAGAACCCCTCTGCCTGATCGGTTGGCATGCCCCAGCGCTCAACACTGCTCCTGTCGCGTCTATCCCAACAGTGGCTACCATTTCTTCTGAATTTGGTCGTGCCAAAAAGTTGCTGTCAGATGATGACTGTACGTGGAGTAAGCTACTGGGTATTGAGCCCGAGACAGCTCTAGGATCAGTTCAAGCCCCAGCATCTACGGAATTTTTGCATGCATTCAAAACATACATCAAGATTGATGCGCATTACTGGGGCCCGTCGCAGGAAAAGAGTTGTCGCTTCATCGGCTGGCTTGAGTCGCGTTGCGTTATGCTACTAGTTGGTAGGGGACGTTTCTCTCGTTTGGCAAGACGTATCATGTTGACATTGTCTAGATATACACAGGAAACTGAAGCACCTGCTCGCACGCATATGGCCATCTCGTTTCTTGGATGTATCTGCTGGAGCAGAGACATCTGGCGCTGAGTATCATGGTTGTTACCTCATTGGCCTTGCATGGGACGATGGCTCAAACAAAAAAGATGCCAAGGAGGTGGGTATGGTCATGCAGACAGTGCTACAAGAATTTGAAGCGAGGATTCGCCGAGACGAGAAGTACTATGACTCCCAGTTCTGTTGGATGAGTGCAACTGTCGCGAGGGCTCATGATCTTGGCTCATTGGAAGTCGATCAGAGTCTATGGGGAGAATATGAGGGCGAAACAGACGATGACGGATCCGATGAAGAGCTTGAAGAAGAGGAAGATTTCGACGATGCTGAGGTGGAATCAAAAGGGCATAAGAGCACAGGGCCTGGATCCCGAGCTGCGGTTGTGGGCAAGACACCAGGGTTGGGCAAGTTTCGCACAGCTGCAGATGTGCTCAACCGGCTTCGCTGGGACCCCAACTTCGATTCAGGCGACTACATCATCGGCTACGAGGACCGCTTCCTGGGAGCTCGTGAGAGGGCAGTGGAACATTGGAAGACGGAGCAGACTGATGAGGAATTTATCCCGCAGCACCGCATACTCTACTTCAAACGGAGGGAGGACAATGCCATTGTGTGGGAGCGACGGACGCGAATCGACGAGATCTTTGGCAGTGGTGTCAAAGACCGATAAGTGAATTCTGCCTGTGCATGACTTGTCATAATCGAATTAAGGGTCCTCAAATCACAGCAGAGATCGACACAGGAACATGGATCTGGTCTGACAGAGAAGCGGGCTAGCGCGTGTGAAGTAAATTCGGCGTGCTGCGAGACAGATGGATATGATGCATGTGCATGAGCTAGATTAAGTAAAATACTTATTAGATTATGTATTTACATGTTGTGCCGAATGGCAACAAACAACTTGCTCGTATCTAGTTTCGGGCACCACTGCATGCATGGTGAGACCCGAGCGAGGCCCGAGAGTGGTATCCTGTCATTGTAGGGACAGCGTTAAGCATCATGGGATAGTATGTGACAATCGGTTACTATCACCCAATAACCTCGAAAATAAGCCTCATCATCGCCTTTGCGAGGCCAGGTAATTTACAATGGGGGAGCCTCCGAGGCCCAAGACATATAGGAAATGCAAGATATTGGGCAAGCAGAGTGAAGGAAGATGCCAGCCCACTCACTCACTTGTGGGCTCTCCAAAAGGGTCGGTTACCAGATGACAGCTGCCATCTACTGGGAACCAGGATTCAAGTCCCAAATGGCGTGGCGCCAAATTCCAGGAGACTGGACTAACAGTCGCATCACATGCATGATGACGATGACCTCTATGGCTGGCAGTTGAAGGGTTGCTCTCATTCTCGCCGTGGTGAAGGTAGTATAAAGCTGTGCATGATGACGCGCTAGGTACGTGGGGGGTGGGACTGTTTCATGTTTCAATCCATCCGTAGAAAGAAGGCAGTAAAGCCCCCCTGCACATATCTCCGGTCCCTCCCACATACGAGGACCACCTCGACTCGAATTGAAATAGCATCAGCCTCACTTTCGGGTCCACGGATAAGACCATCGTGGCATTGCTGCTCAGACCCTTGAGGATGGACAGAATATAAAGCTTCTGGAACCGTTGATCGGTTCTCCTTCAGGCCTTTGAAGCAAAAAGCACTCCATCTCAACTTGAGTAACACCATCCTCCCCACAAGGGCCAAGTGACTTACACAAAACTCTCAAATACTTTCTCAGCACCTCCACAATGGCCGTTGTCGAATCTCAGGTGCCTGTCAACAGTTGCTGTACTGCGTGTTGCAAAGCAAACGATCTCGGAACTCACGACTACTGCGGCACATGTCCCAGGTGTCCCTCCTGAGGACTCTGCGACTCGCTAGCCGCTTCTGTAGCCTCAACAAACCGGCCAGAGGACCAAACAATCTTTTTTTTTTTTTTTTTGGCTGCGTTGCTGTTCTCAAATCGCTTTTGCTCGACCCCTGATTTGCATGGCTACCCAGGATCTTGAAGAATCGCCAGATGTTGAAGTTGGATTGAGCATGGCAGTAAATGAGGGGGGACATGGCATAGCCGGTGAATAAATCCTTCAGGTTTCATACGCTGTGCCTCGGGCAAGATCGGGGAAATCGGTTGGTTGGGTGAATCAGGATGGTGACAAGATATTAATGATATTCATCTAGGATAAACATCCTTGCGACAAGAGCGGAACTGCTGCTACAGGTCGGCTAGCAGCATATGTCGTTCCATTCCTCATCAGCGTGTCCTCGTCCATAGTGCCTAAAGGTCCAGGCTCACGATCACCCCTTTGCCCTATGCTCAGGAAGCCAAACTGGAAAATACAGCGGCAATGGAAGTCTTATCATATTTGACGTACTTGCCCTTGCCCTTGTCGATTTCGTGATACCGGTCCCAAAACCGCTCGTAGAGAGGCTGTAATTTCTGGCGGATGTCCTCCCCAAACATTCGCCGGACTTCCCGCTCCATGCTGTATGATTTGTGTCGAGAAACCATGTCATCAAATGCGCTATTGAATTGTGTGAACTTTTCTTTGATCCTGTCCTTGTCTTTGCTTCCCAGCCCTTTGACGATCGAAGTAGAGTCCACAGGTCCAGAAGTTGGACGATGCGCACGATTGGTATGCACAGTGTCGAACAGGTGGACGGAAAGGTCTTTGCAAACATCCGTATAAGCCGCCGTTGCCTTTTTGCGCCACTGGTCGAGAACATCAAGTTTGTTCTCAAGCAGCCCGCTAAGTTCTGAGCTCTGAACCATTCTTCCAATGATAACAACGCTGTTGGCCAGGAATACCCCAGCAACAGCCCTATTCTTCATGAGTACGCGCGACTTCTGGTCCAAACCAGATAGGAGCATTTCGATGGTATCAGTGCAATAATGCGAAAAGATCTCTTTACCGTCCGCTCCTATGTCAAAGGATGCTAGACTGGGGATTGCATCGGTCGAGCGTCCGCTAGCTGCCGCGTTGGAGCTCCATCCACCGTCCCCTAATGATATCATTATGCTCGAGATGGGGCGTAGAAAGTGTACCATCGTCTGAAGGCGCTGCATTGTCTCCGAGACGAGGGGTATAGGAGCGCCATCTGACGGTAACATCTGTAGCATGCTGATCTTGCGCCTGGTCTCATCAAGGAGCTCCGCAAGGGACGATTTGGCAGTTTCTCGAACAGGCTTCAGGGCTGCAGCGAGTGCCCCTTTCAATTCTCCGGTGCGTGTTTCGAGCTTGCCTGAGAGAGCCGAGATGATCTCGGTGATTTCATATGCCAGATAACAGTCGGTGTTGAGGTGACTTTTGATATGAGCATTGAGTTCACGCAACGTTCGTGCAAGCTCAGCCATCGCTGCCTGGCAAGTTGATTGGAAGACCACGCCCCAATCCTCACGCGAGAAGACACTGCACACATTGTCGTATTCGGAGACAAAAAGGCCCTCCATAGCTTGCGAGTAGGTCCCTATACCGTTGGTCCCCGCACGGTAGACGGCATCTGGGCTCTTCTTCTTGGCGGTGTTGACACTTGCGGCAGCAAGGTTGGCCAAGGATGTTGAGAGGTATGGGCCGCGTACCTCTGCATATATATGGGCGAGCTCAGAGGATCCGCTGTGGTGACTCTCAATGACATATGAATAGACCAGACCGAGCCGGGCTATTTTGTCCTGAGGCAGTGTTGGGAAAGCCTTGTCCTTTGTGATAAAGTGCAACGGCTCGACGGATCGGGGAGTCTCAGCGCGCAGCAGTGTTTCGAAATGGGATTCCAGCTGACTATTGCCAGACTTGATGAGTCGTGTTAGATCGGCCATCGTTTGTTGGTTGGCGCGCAAGTTGGAGGCTTTCATCTCGTTCAAGGCCTTCCCTAGGCGTTTGATAGAAGCCAGGTAATTAGAGAGGCCAGCCTTCTCAGGACCGACTCGAATGATCTGCTCTTCGTCATTTTTGCTATCTGCAGGTTGGCGCAATCGGTCAATAGCGGCCAGGACTGAATCAACGTCTACCCAATGGTTAGTTGTCAGCATTTGCTGGACATGGAGTCTGTTTCTTACTATTTCCCAATATCTGCAGTCGCCTGGTCTCTCCATTCAGAGGTCCTGCAACATCTTGGACACTCTTCCCTGTCGACTCGAGTCGGTTCAGGCACGATTGAATCTTCTTGGTCAATTGCGTCGTCTTTTCGAGCCGCGAATTGAGAACGTCAACCTCAGCCCTTGCTTCTTCATCTAGAGCGGTATGCAAGTTGCCAGAAAGCCCGACCGACATTGTGTACGAACACCGGTGAATAGCATCCGTTCAGGGAGTGGGTTGGCTTATATGTGGTGGTATAGGAAAGACGTCGTAGGGGAGAGATCACTAAGGTTGAGAGTTATGAGTACTCCACGTGGAGGACCATGGGAATCCCAGCATAAGGCAATAGCATAGGTAGGTTTGGCGTATCCGTATGTACTTCCCTCCTAAAGACCAGGACCATAGGTCATTACGGAAACTGGACTAGCTCCCTGACGAAATAGGGTCCAGCGTAGCCACACATCAGCCACCTCTGAAGGCCAGGTTTAGCTACCACTTTACGCGAAAGAGACGCGTTCTTCCCAAGGGAGCGCGGAGCAAATTCGAGCAGCCCCCTAGCAACGCCCCGCCTGGTTTACTTTCACCCCTCGATCTGATTACCGTTCAGTTGAGGACGTTAACTAGGTTCCATATCGGCATCACTTTTGACCAAGTCGCCCATTGAAACGGCAATACAAGGAACCGCCGACATGGACTCTTTTATGCTTCAAGATGAAGGCGTGCGCGATCGCATACGCCAAGCGGAGGAATTCCTTGATCCCAGTACGTCCATCGCCCGTTCTGCAAAAAGATCGATCGTTGTGCCTGGCTAACTCTTTTCTGCAGATGATCCCCAAGTCCGAAGTTATCGATCCGATATCATTCTTATGCTACAGAAGAACCAGCGTCGATTGACCGTTAATCTCGATCATGTGCGCAACCACAGCCCGGACCTCGCACAGGGCCTCTTACAACAACCCTTCGATTTCACTCTGGCTTTTGATCAAGCCCTGAAGAACATCGTCCAAACCATTCCACAGGCACGACCTGACCAGACCGCAAAAGACACAATTTATTACTGCGCTTGGGCTGGCAGCTTTGGCTTGAACGCTTGCAATCCCCGTACATTGTCGTCTCACCTCCTCAACTACATGGTCTCTATCGAGGGTATTGTGACTCGATGTTCTCTCATCCGCCCCAAGGTCGTGAAGAGTGTTCACTACAATGAGAAAAAAGACATGTTTCATTTTCGCGAGTACCAGGATCAGACCATGACCAACGGTGTTACCACTTCAAGCGTCTACCCTCGCGAGGACGACGACGGTAACCCGCTTATTACAGAGTATGGCTTTTGCACATACCGAGACCACCAGACCATCTCTATCCAGGAAATGCCCGAGCGAGCACCCGCAGGGCAACTCCCCCGCGGAGTCGATGCCATTCTAGACGATGACCTCGTCGACAGTGTGAAGCCCGGCGACCGAGTGCAGCTCGTCGGCATTTATCGAACGCTGGGTAACCGTAATACCAATCACAACAGTGCTCTCTTCAAAACGATGATTCTCACGAACAATGTTGTCTTGTTATCTTCAAAGTCCGGAGGTGGTGTGGCGACTGCAACCATTACTGATACCGACATTCGTAACATCAACAAGGTGGCCAAGAAGAAGAACCTTCTGGAGCTGCTCTCTCAATCACTTGCCCCCAGTATATATGGGCACGATTATGTCAAGAAGGCCATCTTACTCATGCTTCTGGGTGGTATGGAGAAGAACCTCGAAAATGGAACACATCTGCGTGGAGATATCAACATTCTGATGGTCGGTGACCCGTCCACTGCTAAATCTCAGCTGCTACGTTTCGTCCTCAATACTGCACCGCTCGCGATTGCGACGACTGGTCGTGGCTCCTCGGGCGTTGGTCTCACTGCAGCAGTAACTTCTGATAAGGAGACGGGTGAGCGCCGACTGGAGGCCGGTGCCATGGTCATGGCTGACCGTGGTGTCGTTTGTATCGACGAATTCGACAAGATGTCAGACGTTGACAGAGTTGCGATCCATGAAGTTATGGAACAGCAGACTGTTACCATCGCAAAGGCGGGTATTCACACATCGCTGAATGCTCGTTGTAGTGTTGTTGCTGCTGCTAACCCTATTTTCGGCCAATATGATCCTCACAAGGATCCTCACAAGAATATTGCGCTGCCTGATTCTCTACTCTCACGTTTTGATTTACTGTTTGTCGTCACAGATGACATCGAGGATACGCGAGATCGACATGTGTCAGAACACGTCCTTCGTATGCACCGATATCGCCAGCCAGGAACTGAAGAAGGCGCTCCTGTGCGTGAGCAAGGTGGGCAGTCCCTGGGGGTCTCGGCTTCAAATCAAACTGAGTCCCTGGGACCAACTGAAGTTTACCAAAAGTATGATGCAATGCTACATTCTGGTGTCACAATCACATCTGGTCGCGGTACAAACAAGAAGCCCGAAATCCTTAGCATCCCGTTCATGAAAAAGTACATCCAATATGCCAAGACGAGAATCAAGCCCATTCTGACACAAGAGGCTTCTGACCGAATCGCTGATATCTATGTCGGTCTACGGAACGACGAGATGGAGGGCAACCAGCGAAGGACCAGTCCTTTGACCGTCCGTACTCTGGAGACCATCATTCGTCTTGCCACAGCACATGCCAAATCCCGCCTATCAAATAGGGTGGAGGAGCGCGATGCGGCTGCTGCAGAGGGTATCTTACGCTTCGCTCTTTTCAAGGAAGTTGTTGAAGAATCGCGGAAGAAGCGGAGAAAGACCCAAACGGTTGACTTTGCATCATCCAGTGACGAGAGTTCCAGTGATGATGAAGATGACGATGGTGACATTGCCAATGCCACGCAATCAAACAGGTCGACTTCGAGGACTACACGCAACAGTAGTCGCCTTCAAGCGAGAGAAACCAGTGACACTGCCCGGTCCAGCAGAGAACTTGATGCTCCTGAGGATGACTCGCAAAGCACATTGCGAAGATCTAGCCGGCGAACACAAGACCAGTCACAATCGCAGGCTTCATTTGCATCCTCAATTCCAGCCTCTCAGCTACCATCCTCGAACCAGCTAGAGTCGCAGGATGGCGACGAGGACCTTGCCAGCGGTGCTGCAGCATTGGCAATTGACGATACTCCCATCAGCTCTGAGCGACTGACAACCTTCCGAACAGCCCTTGGTCAGCTTCTCAACACAGACCTGTTTGAAGATGACGCGGCCGAGCTGGATGCAGTCGTGGAGGCGGTGAATAAAAAGATTGGGAACCGTCGCGATGCATTTGATAAAGGAGAGGCCACAAAGGCGCTCCAGAAAATGGGAGAGGCAAACCAGATTATGTAAGTCTCTTTATTGCAACCACCCACGCGTTGACCTACTAACATTCATTTCAGGTTCACGGAGGGAGATCTTGTGTACAAGATCTAAATCTTGTAGCGTGTCAGCAATACGAGGCAATCGACTGGCGTTGGTGGGATTTGTTTTGGTGCATCTATTGGTTGGCTTGGTACTACTATGAAGTTGATAACGACATGGATGGACACGAGGTTGGTCGAGTTATGTAGGTAGTTAATGATTGGTGCCAGGTGAATAGAATTCCGCAAGGTCTGTAAGGGTCTCTCTCAATACCTTCCTTAATCGAGACTTTGATTGAACAATTTGTGGACAATGAGTCTGCCTAATAACCTACCTAGGTAGTACTCCGTAGGTACAGATGGTCTGAGCTGAACCCAGAGGAGGAGGAATTGACCAGGATAGGAGAAACTCAAAATTTCCTGTAAATATTGAGCCACGTATCTATTGCTCAGGATGTGACACACAAAGAGTCTTTGATTGAATTCATGAGGTGCATTTTTTATCAGCAACCGTAAGGTCTGATGATATATTCTGTTCGCTCCACTACTTACCTTATTAGGTGCTGACCTACCTACCTACTATATACCTACTAGGTAGGTAAAGAGGACACCTTCTGTACGTAACCTTCCATCCTTACGTGTACCAACCTGGGCAGCAGTTCCCGTGTGCCCAACCCACCACGGACACCGCCTAAACCAAAGTCAGCTAGAATTGCTCACTCATCCGTTCCTTTAGAAGTTGGTCCATCTCTTTCTTTCTCGGCAACTCTGGCCTACCCACCTATACAACGATTCTATAACTGAATCACAGCTTAACTACCTATACTAGAGTCACAGTAGTTCCCAGCAAAGAAACTGACCCTGGTACGGCAAAATTAAGAGTCTGGGCCCCGGGCTGTTTCTTACGATCCGATTCGCATTCATACTCAACACCCTGACCGCAAACTCCACCGACTGCTGAATATTTCTATTCCTGACCGGTCTATGAGCCGAGACTGTACAGTCCCGTGGTAGAAAACACCTTTATTCATTACCGAATAGCCAGTGTCTTTATAGGGAGTTTCTGCCAGTTCAAGACCTGTCTCGTACCCTTCCACACAACTGGTCATTACCTTACCACCTCACAAGCATCATGGCAGATGTAGCCGAAACTCCAGAGATTGGGCTGCCTACTGATAGCAAGGAAGCTGCTGTTGTAGAGGAAGAGAAAGACTTAGACCAAACGAAATCCGATGATGCAGATGAACACAAAAACGGTGATGTATGTGCACCAGGCACTGAACCAGCACCTGAACCAGAGGCAGGGCCAAGGCCAGAAGCAGATAATTCCCCAAAACATCCCCCGTTGGCCATAATTGAGGGCAAGGTCAGCGACTCATCAGGCGAAGAAGCTGTCCCAATCGATTTTGTTACGATGGGCATGTTTATAATTGGTGAGAAGATTCATTAACCTACCTTAGCCAGCGCCCTTGTCTACAAAACTGCTCCGTTGCTCAGATCAGACACTAACTAACTCGACCGGAAAGACGATATCGACTTCATTCCGCCAACTCCGCCTGTCAAAGACATCCTTGGTGGCGCTGGCACCTACTCAGCCCTTGGGGCTCGCCTGTTCTCACCCCCACCCAAATCTGCTTCAGTTGGCTGGATTGTCGATCAGGGCTCGGATTTCCCGCCATCTCTCTCTACGCTCATCGATAGCTGGTCCACCTCGGCTCTGTTCCGTCATGACGGGCTTCGTTTGACCACGCGAGGTTGGAACAGCTATGAAGGCACTACCGAGAAGCGAGCTTTCAAATACCTGACTCCCAAGAAGCGGTTGACTGCTCAGGATCTGACACCACCGCTGCTTAAATCACGGTCGTTCCACCTGATATGCTCCCCAAATCGATGTAGGGATCTTGTCTCCGAGATCACCTCACTTCGAAAGAAGGTCGTGCCCCTTGAGACATATACCAAACCCATCTTCATCTGGGAGCCTGTGCCTGATCTGTGTACCCCTGACGAGTTGCTCAATTGCACCAACTGCTTACCTCTTGTCGATATCTGCAGTCCGAACCATGCAGAATTGGCTGGGTTCATGGGTGACAGTGGACTTGATCCAGAAACAGGTGAGATCTCTACCATTGCTGTAGAAAGGGCCTGCGAACAGCTTCTTGCAAGCATGCCTCTGCAGTCATTCTCTCTTGTTATCCGTGCTGGCGAGAAGGGATGCTACATCGCCAAGAATGGAGGAAGAAAGCGTGGCCGTGACCCCAAGACGACCAAGCGACGAAAGAAAGATTATGTTAGGGGTGGCCTTCAGCCAGACACGGATATGGAGGCTTTGTTTGCCGGCCTTCTCCAAGATGCCGATGGTATTGTGGCTCGCGAAGAGATCGAGGTCGATCCTGGTGTCGAGAAATGGGTTCCCGCCTATCACACTGATCCATCCAAGGTTATTGATCCTACGGGAGGTGGGAATACCTTCTTAGGCGGCCTCGGTGTGGCTCTGGCCCGAGGCGAGAGTCTTGAGGACGCTGTAGCTTGTGCCACTGTTGCCGCAAGCTTCGCCATTGAGCAGGTCGGTGTTCCAACGATTGGTAGAGATGCTGAAGGCCGCGAGGCTTGGAATGGACATAATGTTGAGGACCGTCTCCGCGAATTTCGCAAACGTCTATGAATGAAATGAAACATTGGATATACTATATCATAAACTATGTTATAAAATTACGATGGGTTATAGGGGATTTAGAATAATAAGAATAGAGCACATTTGTATGGGTGTTTAGTCTTGAGCCAGTCACGAAATATAGGTAGTCCAAGCAACCCATTTCTATGGAAGGTCTACGGAGTAGTACCTATCTAGATGTCCGGGTTTGCGTCTGTTATATCAGTCGGCGCTAGATTGCCTGGTTCCGGCGTTGATGGAATGCCTCCCTACGTTTTGTATGGACAAAGGCAAGTTGCTGCGATCCTTACCCAGCTTGGGAGGTGTTTAAATCTTGTCATGCCCCTCTAGGTTAGCCACGTCTTTACCTAGAGCTTGGCCGATTTCTGAAATATATAGGTTTAAGGTGAAGATATGTATTTGCCTCTGGCTGCCTAGCCAATCGCGCGACCTGGGGGAGCCGGGTGAGCTATGCCGGTGCTGGCTCACCCTATACCCTCCTTCAGGGTGAGCCAGACATACACGCAGAATATGGCTTAAGGCTAACACGAAATTAATTTATGCTATCGCGTATTAGTGTATTTAATTGGCTTCTCTATTACGTCACGGTAATTGCATAATTTAAACGCATGTTGATACGCGCCGCTTGCATCCTTACCTCTTTCCTTATCTTAAAAGGACAATTACATTGCCAGAACTATTAACTATTAATTTCTCTTATATCCTAATTGACTATCATTTAATTGCTTATTAAGTGAAGTTATCTTCTATATTATCCTTTATTAATAACCACAAAATGCTTACTGGCTGCAATAAGTCTCTAGACCTTAAGAATAGCTATAGTAATTACAAGGCTTTAGTAAAGACACTTAGGTATATATGTAATAGTCCTTAAGCAGCCAGATAGAATTATTTCTAATATATTTTTTTAAGTTTATATATTAGCCTTAAAAGGTATTTAAGTATCTTTAAAGTCTACTATAATTTAAATGTTTTTTACCTCTTAAGTAATAAAGCTTTATTAAATTAATATTATTAAATTAGCTGCTGGATTATAGCCTACACTTAAATATACTTAATTTAGCTAGAAAGCCTTACTTTTTAGCTAGCTAAAATCTTTCTTTTATAACCTATTAAAAGTTATATTAACCTATACTATATTTTAATTATTTAATATATAATAAGTTATTTAATTTAAATACCTTTATATTATAGCTGCCTTATTATAATATCTATTTAAAAAAGCCTATAGCTACTTTAATACAATAAAGTATATTAAATAAAAAATAATT